GCCGACGCATAAGCAGAGTGGCGCAGCGGAAGCGTGCTGGGCCCATAACCCAGAGGTCGATGGATCGAAACCATCCTCTGCTATAGTCTTTTGAAAAGAGGCAGGCAGAGTTTCCGGAAAAACCAGCAGAAAGGCGTGTCCCAGACTCGTCGAATAGACTTTTGAGTATTGTTGTAAATAACTACTTCCTGTATTCAGCGCCCGGGATCGTCTGCCACTCAGCTTCCTAGATTCCAGGTCTCTTTTTGGCCTGAGTCTCTGCATGGTGCTGAGGACGTCCCCCATCAGAAGTGTACAATTCCTGTGTGCCAATTTTCAATTGTAACTCTTTTTTTAAAGCATGATGACAACTCGTTTAGCTCTGTTACTACATTGTAAAAGCATTATCTCAATAAGAATTTATAAAAGAAGAAAAGTACTTCTCATGGGAATATATCCTAAGTATTTAGTTGCTTTCGTAGTCGTGGCCGAGTGGTTAAGGCGATGGACTTGAAATCCATTGGGGACTCCCCGCGCAGGTTCGAATCCTGCCGACTACGGAGTTGTGTTTTCTTGACAGGTATTAAGAGGTCCTTACCAACTTCTATTACAATTTCATTGTCTTTTTTTGAATTTAACAAAATTCTGGACAGGTTTGATAGTGAAATAATAAATAAATTTAAAAAAAGTCTGAATTCCCAAACTTCATGTGTTCTCACTCATCTATTTCCACTTTAATCGTCTAACACCCTGGACACACGCAGTGTATTGCGGCTGTACTCCAGAGTGTATTTAGAGTTTTGAAATCAATATTTCTAACAAATTTCCAGTTTGGTCTGCCTCTGCCTCTGCCTCTAGATTGTTTCGGAGGATAAATTTCTGAATCAAAATACAAGACAATTTTCAAGACTGTCTTTGGCTAAAGATTTGATTTAAAAATACATCTATTGCTATTTAAAACGCTCAGTATCTCTAATGCATACAGATATTTGCTGTCGTACAGAAAAGTAAACATAAAGCACATTAGTATTACATTAGCAATCGATTCATTGTGTGCACTGGCATTTCAACTGTATTTTGATAAATAATGTTTGCCTGAGGATCGGAAAAGTAAAACAATCACACTGGCTAGCCGCCTTACCGAGCAGGCTGCTATGATAGCGTCTTTAACTGCAGTAGCCACACTAGTTTGCCGTAGAAACCGGGCGGTGCACGCCTTTAATCCCAGCCCTAGAGAGAATTATAAAACGGGGAGAAAATAACTCTCAGACACAGTCTCATTCTGAGATTCCTGGAGGCAGGATCGCCATTTCGGACTGAGGTCGAGATTATCTCGACCAGTGACCAGTGACTGGCTGTTTTCCTTTTCGGATCTTCATGTTGAACCCCAATTCCACTCTCTTGAGTTTTTATTAATTGTGCTTCAATTGTGAAATGCGGATAAAGATAAAGAAGTAAATGTATAGTTAAGGCAACTCATTTTATCTCCCTAATTACAAAAAATTTTTTCTCATCTTATGTTTAGCTCCTTTCTTCTTGCGTTTTCCATACGCCTGTATATGCCAAGAGATTCCTCGGTGCAGGCACTTTTTTCTCTGTAAATTCCAGTGCAGTAAATGGCAGGTCTGGCAGACACATAACTCATATTTCTCAAGAAGCAGCTATACCTAAGTTATTATCCAGCACTGCAGAAACAGGCTGCAAATCCAGATCATAAAAATAGGAAAGTATGAATTCAGTCTCCTCATTGTCCGTCTAAATTCTGCTAAGAGGAGCAGCTGATACGGGCCCCATGGTGTAATGGTTAGCACTCTGGACTTTGAATCCAGCGATCCGAGTTCAAATCTCGGTGGGACCTCACATGAATTTTGTCTCTCCTTTCTCACAAGTTACAATATTCTGAACACATTCTGAGCCGCTCCCCCAACTCCCGGAAATTAAAGTATATTGCCATATTTTTCATCTCATCTAAAAACTTGCCCAGTATGCAAAACTCGCCCAGTCTTTAACATCAGATGCTTCTAGAACTACTCTATTCCAAAATCTGAGATAAACCAGGAATCCAGGTGTCTCTTTTGCCTCTTTTTTTTGGGGGGAGGGTGTGGAAACTAGAATTACACTAATCTGGCGAAATTTTGCGCAGACCCGAGGATTAGGGATACGTTTTGCTTATCTCGGAGCTGACTGAATTCCTATATAAAAGACTAACTCATTATTATTTGGCCTAAGTAGATTTTATGCGTAAATTTTGTTCTTATAAAACAGAACACCTGAGTTATTCGGTGCATTTTCTAAGTAAACTTGGTATAAATGAATAATTCTATTTACCTTTTGAAGCTAAAATATATTTAAAGATAGATACTTCAGGTAGTTTATTAAGGAGTAAGAAGTTCACGTAGGGCCCCATGGTGTAATGGTTAGCACTCTGGACTTTGAATCCAGCGATCCGAGTTCAAATCTCGGTGGGACCTTCCTTACCTTTTTTTTTTTTCTTTCATGAACAATGGATCCGCCTACTTCGTGAGTGAATTAGCCCTCAAACTCATTTCTGGCTTACACTCATTTCTGGCCTATGTAAAGTGTATGTGTGGTTAGAGATCTAATTGGAACTTCTTCAAAGTGTATTTTCAAATGCAAAAAGAAATTGCAGCAACAAACTTCTCCAATATGTAAGTGAGAATTTTATGGTATAGTGGCTATTATGCTAGACTCTAAAATGTGTCCCGTCCATGGCTTATTTCTCCCCCCTTTGTCCCACATTCCTAGTCTCTTGAATCATCCATTAGTTCACCTTCAGGATATATGCACCTAGCCGCAAGTGTTTCCGGTTTTCACATTTCAGTTTTTCCCTTTCTTCGAGGCTTTCAGTAATTATCCAATTCAAGGGTCTCCGTATATACTGTCTAGCACCTGGGCTTCAAGTCTCAGTGAGTCTGTCCGTTTTGGTGTCCTTGCTTTTCATTTTCAGCCAAACCAGGATTATACCCAGTCGGTATGCTTAGATAGATGTGCCCTCAGACACACACCTCGTCTTCTCAGGAACAAATCCTCGATCCTTGCTCTTTCCTCTGGGTCAAGGAAGCCCTAGTCCCATCTCTATTTATTCTTCATTAGGTCATGTTAACACATTTATTAACACATTTATTTATTTATTTATAGAATAATGATTTTACATATAGAAAAAGTGAAACATATTTTCAGGTGTCCAGAAACAGGTGTCACTGTGTGCTGGTCCTGGATGTCCTGACCTAGCCTGACACACGCGGTTAGGCCCTAAGGTTTGTCCTCTGAACCTGAGCAGCTGCACAGCATCTCTGCAGCACATTGGCGTTTCTGAGTTTGATGAAACGAGGTAGAAACCTGATCAAACAATAGCAGAACTTTTCATATATTGACTGAGCATGGATGATCAGTCAGTCACCAGGTATCTCCTGACAATTCGTAGAGATCACAGGCTTTACAGCCTCCCACTCTCACTTTCTGCATCCCATATAGTCAGACACACAAACACCATTGCTTTTAAATGAAACAACTTCTTTTCTTAGTGTATCAGTTACAAAACGTGAGTGATTAGGTATCTGAACTCTTGGCCTGGCAGTAACAATGTAGAATGAAGCACCTTGCTCACACCTTCCCCCAAATCATGAATTCCGCACACAAACGCTACAGAGCCCTTTACTACCCCATGTTGTTCAGTCTTCCAAGGTTTCTCATGATCTGTGTTCTTCCTACCCACATAGCAGCAAGTCTAAATCGTCTGACTGCAAATGTGTCCCTGGTGATCTTTGCCTGAGTTCCCCAGTTCTTCACACATATCCCACCTGGACTCCTCGGAGTCAGGTATTATGTCATGTGATAGGCATTTATTTATATTAAAAACGTACTTGGGAGCAAGGAGAGCTGCATCATAACAGGTCTAATTCATGGACACATAGAAATGACAAAATCCAATGTTAGTTTTAAAACGAGAGTCATCGTAAATAGTCTGACTAATTCATTTCTCCTGCTGTGGTTTTATTCAGAGCCATTTCTTCTCAGCAGTTTGTTTCTTTTTCTTTTATCAAATTCAGAGGGCCATTTACAGACAGTAAAGGCTTTGGTTTCAATAATGACGTGTGATGAAGTGACAGAGATTGTAAATGAAACAGTCTAATTAAAGGGCCAAATGAAACTAATGGATCCCCCGCCCCCAAAACCCAAACCAAAGAAACAATATTAACTCCGTTCCCCAAAATACCCAAACACCAAATCATAGAAGATACAACATGCTATCTGTCACACTACCTCAGCAGGTGTGACGAGGTGGCCGAGTGGTTAAGGCGATGGACTGCTAATCCATTGTGCTCTGCACGCGTGGGTTCGAATCCCATCCTCGTCGACTGGGTCTCACACTTTGTGTGGGCTTGTGGTTTTATCCCCGGCGTGATAAATTACCCATGTCCATTTTAAATCTGGAAATCTGCAAGATTCTCTTCCAAAACTGATTGTGAACCGCGTGATTCCCGGACCTCACTCTTCTACTTTCTTCATGTGTGTGTCTCTGTTTGCTCAAACCCGCATTTTTGAGACTTCAGGTACGCTTGTGGCAAAGTTATCTCACCTTAGATCTGCCCTCGCGTCTGTCCCGCACTTCTACTGTTTCCTGACTGACTTTGCTTTTTAGGAGTGCTGGGAGCGGTTTCCTTCCCCTCCTGTTTCTGGCCGTGACATTCCTTCTACTGGTATGAAGTTTCTGCTCTCCGATCAGTGGTAGCCCTCTGCCTTGACTTTCCTCCGACAGAAAGAAATGCTGTATTTTAACCGGAGATCGCTTTAGGTATTCCAGTCTCTATCTGTCCCTTCCATCTTCTTGCAACTTACATCTCGATTTTAGCACACCGTCCCAGAAAAACATCCACTCACCTGCTTTCACAGAAAAAGATTTCCCACCCATAATAGAAACACAAAACTGATGGGGTCACTAATAAAGACAGACGGTCTCTGAAATTTTTTTTTATCTTTGTCATTTGTCTCTTTTACAGAAACGGACATTGAGGTAGAGTTGCTGAAGTCTTTCCAACAAGTTCCAATGCAGCCTCTGGACTGGGCAGGTTCCCAGGGGATTTCAGAAGCTCACAAAAACTGGGCATTGAGTAGAAATACTCCTCCCACCTCATTTTTATGTACAGTATATGTTGCTTGGAGTCAACTTATAAATTTTGTCCCGATTGATTTTAATTGTAAATGAGTGCATAGGAGGTGACTGTTGTGACCGGAGGGCAGTCTGGATCCTCCAGAGAGTGGATGCTGTGCCTTTTCCCAGAGATGTTCCATGTCAGGGGACATCAGAGCAGTCTCATCCTGGCCTCTACTTGAACTTTACATGGAGAAGGAGGCACAATGTGACTTGGTTTATTTCTCTTTGTCTTTAAACTTTGCACATATCAAACATGCAACAGATATTTATACAATAAATGCTTATACTAACTGCATGCTTGTGTGTGCGTGCACACGCATGTGTGCGTGTGTATGTTCACCTGTTAATGGAGGGACTGAAGGGATTGAAACGTCTAGGTGGAATATATCCAGAGTATAATCATACTTACAGTAATACCTGACTGATGGTTTTAATTGTACCTGTGTTGTCCTGTTAGAAAGTGGGGAGATAGATGTGGGGACTATTTTGGTTTTCTGAGCTTTCCATCATGATTTAAAAAAAATCAAAGAGAAAAAAAAAAAAAAAACAGGAACAGTAGCACCTGCCTGTAATCCCAGTACTTGGTGGGTTGAAGGTGGATTAGAAGTTCAAGAATGTCCTTGGCTACAAATGGAATTCTAGGCCAGCTCAGGCTACGTAAAGAAGGGAAGAGAGAGAGAGAGAGAGAGAGAGAGAGAGAGAGAGAGAGAGAGAGAATAAATCAGTTCTGAGCAAACATGTGGAAGATATTTCAACCTGTTCAAGAAGGGGTGACTTGGAGAATAGAGTGGACATGTGAGATAAAACCTAAGACCTCAGGCCCTGTGGGCCACCCCCAACCCCCACCCCTTTGTGCCTTTGGAACTGTACCTGCTTTCATCTTCAATAAACCTTGCTTGCTACAACTCTCTGTGTCTGTTTGTATTCCTAAAGCAAGAATCCAATATAGCTCGGGCAACAGTAGCATCCATTAGCCTTCCAATAGAGGATTGAATATCTTACACTCAGTACTCGGTTTAGTTTGGGCCCTGAAGATCCATCACTGAGAGACACACACCAGAAGTGTCTTCTGTTACCAGTGGACACTGCTGAGCGCTTATGGTGTCAGCACATGCATGCAATATATACACAATAAACCATGTCTGAATAACTTGTTGCTCTGTTTCCTTTTAGTATTGCTGGGTATCAAGCTGAGGGCTTCACTTAATGATAAGTGCTTTGCCACTGAGAGAAATGCCAAGATCCGAAATTATTTCTAAAAATAGAAACGAGTGTAATAGTTCCCCATTTACCTGCCCCAAAGTGAATTTCATTCTTGGAGAGACTATAAATTAGAAATATTTTTTCAGAAGACCTTTGCCAGTTTTCATCAGAAGTTTAGAGCCTGGTTTGGTAGCTACCACTCATAATCCCAGCATTGGGGAGACTGAAGCAGGAGAATCACCGCGATTCCCAAGCCAGCCTTGACATTAAATATCCTTTTGAACATAGAAATCACACACTTATTTCATTTTATTTAGAAGGTTTCACTCTTTAGAATAAAGGATAATACAGATTAAAAATATACCATTGGCACAGGGTGGTGGAACACACCTTTAATCCCAGCGCTTGGGTGGCAGAGCAAACCAAACCAACCCAACCCTGCCCCACCCCCCGAAAAAAAATCCATCAAGAGTGACAACAGGACACATGAAGGAAAGCTTACTCAAGGGTCTGCTTCTGTGATTTGTCTATAAAGGACAGACGGCAAGTGGTATGGATCTGATGAAGTTCCGAGTGACTGTGTATCACTGCCAGGTACAACTATCAAAGGCTCCAATGCTTCACATTCATGGGTCCAGCAAAGCCTTCTCTGCGTGAGGTTTCAAGGTATGGAAAAGCCTTCTATACTGGTGTTAACAAAGGATTATCCTTTAGCTAAAACCATTGCACTGCAGAAACTATCACCCACACTTTTCTTCTCCTGGATGTTTTCAGCCCAAGACTGCTACCTATAGAGAGTTCTTAACAAAATAAGATGATCCTGGCTCCTTGTTCAGCCATATACAACAAACCCCCTGAACTTCCTGGTTGCTGTTGGTGCATCTTGATCACAGTGCATGACCAACCCCATCCCAGCTTTTCTGTATGCATGCCTATTGTTTATTCTCCCTGTAATGGATCCAGTTTGGTCAATCCCTAAAATGTGCAGGTCATTGCAATGTGCAAATACTTAACTGGCTATAGGAATGTGTAATGCAGCCATGCTTATTATGGTAGCTATTAGTAACATAATGAATAGGAAATTGGTACCCACAATTCAATCCCTAAATAGAAAACTATCAGACCATTAAAATTTATAGTATAGGAAGCCAACCCAGTCCTGGGACTCAATAGCCAACAACCTGACTCAGAGTCAGTGATCTCCACCAGAACTGGAGTGGGACAGAACCAGCTACCTAGGACAGAGAGCAAATAGCTCCACTAGGAACAGAAACCAGGAGCAAATCAAGTCCCAGGAGCCAACCGAGTCCCAGGACACTGGCGGATCAGGATTGAGCCAGTGACCAGATCCAGAGTCAGCGATCTCCACCAGAACAGGTTCAACTCCAAACCAGGGACTTCTGCAGGAGAGGATCCAGACCAGGATTTACAGAAACAAGGCAAAGGGACAACCTAGGCCAAAGTAGGCCTGAGACAGTAAACTGCAAGTAAGCAGAGCTGGGTACAGGAGCGGCGAGCTATCTCACTGAGTAACCAAAAGGGTAACTAGAACTTTGACACTGGCTGAACCACAAGGAACAATCATTTGAGTTTAGGATTCACTGGCACCTAGAAGATTATTCAACATAATCTCACACAGCCCCAACCACACCTATTAGAGGAAAAGATGAATAGAAAAGGTAAAATCACCTGCTACACCACAAAGAACAACACAACACCAGTAAAACCTAAAGACCCTACAACAGCAAGACCTGAACAACCAAATATGGATGAACCAGAAGAAAATGAACTAAAAATAACCTCAAGAGGATTTTAGAAATTCTTAAAGATGAAATGAGAAATTCCCTTAAAGAAATTGAGGAAAAGACAAATGAAAAATTGTAAGATATTAGCAAATCACTTAAAGAAAACCAAGAAAAAGAAATCAAACATATAAAAGAAACTATTCATGACTTAAAAACTGAAATAGAAACAATAAAGAAAACACAAGCCAAAGGAATTATAGAAACAGAAATCATGAGAAAAACATCAGGAACCACAAACGCAAGCAAGAACAGCAGAATACAAGAAATGGAAGAGAGAATCAAGTGCTGAAGATACAATAGAGGAAATAGACTCATCAGTTAAAGAAAACATTAAATCTAACAAAAGCTTAACCCAAAATATCCAGGAAATATGGGACACCATTAAAAGGCCAAATCTTAGAATACTAGGTATAGAAGAAGAAAAAGTTCAACTTAAAGGCACAGAAAATTTATTTAACAAAATCACAGAAGAAAACTTTCCCTTTCTAAAGAAAGATAAGTCTATGAAGATACAAGAAGCTTACAGAACACCAAATAGATTGGATCAAAAAAAAGTCCTCTTGTCACATAATAATCAAAACACTAAATATACTGTGTAAAGAAAAAATATTAAGAGCTACAAAGGAAAAAAGCCAAGTAACATATAAAGGAAGACCTATCAGAATTACACCTGAATTCTCAGTGGAGACAATGAAAGCCAGAAGGTCACGGTCAAGCATTATGCAGACATTAAGAGACCACAGATGCCAGCCCAGACTACTATACCCAGCAAAATTGTCAATCACCATAGAAGGACAAAACAAGATGTTCCATGACAAATCTAGATTTCACCAATACCTAACCACAAACCAGCCCTAAACAAAATACTAGAAAGAAAACTCCAACCCAGGGAAGATGGCTACACCAATAAAAACAGAGACAATTGATGATCTCATAACAGCAAATCCCAAAGAAGAAAAAAAACCACACAATTTAACATCACCAACAATTTTTGAAAACTAAATGAACAGGAGATAGCAATCATTGGTCATTAATATCTCTTAATGTAAATTGAGTCAACTCATCTATAAAAAGGCACAGGCTAATGGATTGGACATGAAAACAGAATCCATCCTTCTTCTGCATACAAGAAACACATCTCAACCTCAAAGACAGACATCGTCTCAGAGTAAAGGGTTCAAATGGACCTAAGAATCAAGTGGGTGTAGCTATCATAATATCTAACAAAATAGACTTCAAGCTAAAATCAGTCAAAAGAGACAAAGAAGGTCATTTCATATTAGTCACAGGAAAAATCCACCAAGAGGAAATTTCAATACTGAACATCTATGCCCCAAATACAAGGGCACCCTCATATGTCAAAGAAACACTTCTAAAGCTTAAATCATACATTAAACCCCCCATACTAATAGTGGGAGACTTCAACACTCCCTTCTCACCACTGGACAGGTCAATCAGACAAAAAATGAACAGAGAAATAAGAGAACTAACATGGCTCAAATGGACTTAACAGACATCTATAGAATATTCCATCCAAACAGAAAAGAATATACCTTCTTTTCATACCTCATGGGACCTTCTCAAAAATTGATTACATACTCGGTAACAAAACAAACCTCAGCAAATACAAAAAAATTGGAATAACCCAACGTACCTTATCAGATCACCATGGTATAAAACTAGAAGTCAACTGCAATACTAATTCCAGAAAACCCACAAACGCATGGAAATTAAACAATGCTCACCTGAATCATCAATGGGTCAAGGAAGAAATAAAGGGGGAAATTAAAGTCTTCCTAAAATTCAATGAAAATGACCACACAACATACCCAAATTTATGGGACACAATGAAAGCAGTGTTAAGAGGAAAGTTCATAGCACTAAATGCCTACATAAAGATTCTGGAAAAATCCCACACTAGTGAATTAACAGAACATTTGAAAACTTTAGAACAAAAAGGAGAAAACTCACCTAAGAGAACTAGATGGCAGGAAATAATCAAAGTGAGAGCTGAAATCAACAAAAAGAAACAAAGAAAACAATACGAAGAATCAAACGAGACAAAGAACTGGTTCATGGAGAAAATAAACAAAATAGACAAACCTTTATCTAAACTAACCAAAGGCAGAGAGAGAATATCCAAATTAACAAAATCAGAAATGAAAAGGGGGACATAACAGACATGGAGGAAATACAGAGAATCATCAGGTCATATTTCGAAAACCTGTACTCCGCAAAATTGGAAAACTTAAAGGAAATGGACAACTTTCTGCATAAATATCACTTACCAAAATTAAATCAAGACCAGATAAACAAATTAAACAGACCTATAACTGCTGAAGAAATAGAAACAGTCATCAAAAGTCTCCAAACCAAAAAAAAGTCCAGGACCAGATGGTTTCAGCTCAGAATTCTACAAGACTTTCAAAGAAGAACTAATACCAATACTCCTCAAATTGTTCCACACAATAGAAACAGAAGGAACATTGCCAAAATCTTTTTATGAGGCTACAATTATCCTGATACCCAAACCACAGAAAGACATTACTAAGAATTACAGACCAATCTCAGTCATGAACATTGATGCAAAAAATACTAAGTAAAATAGTAGTGAATTGAATCCAAGAACACATCAGAACCATCATCCACCATGATCAAGTCTGCTTCATCCCGCAGATACAGGGATGGTTCAACATATGAAAGTCTGTCAACCTAATCCACCATATAAACAAGCTGAAAAATAAAAACCACATGATCATCTCATTAGATGCCGAAAAAGCTTTTGACAAAATACAACATCCCTTCATGATAAAGGTCTTGGAGAGAGTAGGGATACAAGGAACATACCTTAACATAATTAAAGCAATATACAGTAAAC